GCAGCCGTGCCTGGCCCCTGACCCTTCTCAGGGTCCTAGGCCCTCACTGGGCCGAATACTGCCCTCTCGGTCCAGGGTCTCAACCCCACACCCCGCACCACTCTGGTGCCAAGCTGCTGCGCCTTCCCGGCGCTGCTCAGTGCCCGCACAGGGCACCCAGGAACCCCCAGACTACTGGGGAGCTCCTGTGAGGCCTCCTCACACCCCTACAGCCTCACCCGGTCCTCCGGATGATACACACAACTGAATCACAAGCCAACCGGCTGCAACCCAAATCATAAGCCCACCAGCTATAACAACACAATCAGCCTACCGGCTTCTACATCAAGTCCCAGCCATCCTGGCTCTCGGGCCAAAGCCTTCTGGTCAGGCTTCTCTCCGCCTACACCATAATGCAGCCCTCTATGTGCCAAGCAGCACTGATCAGCCTAGCTCTCCCGCAGAGCTCTTACACACAGGCTGCCAGAAGGGAACTGCCAGCCAGGCTCCGGCCTAGCTGTTTATAAGGGCCCGGCCCTGCCCCCTTCCGGTCACATGGCCGACCTGGTTACTCCCACAACCCACAGCTGAGCTGCCCTGGTGATTGGCAGCTACTCTAATCCTTACTCAGGAACGGGGCACCCAAGTGCCCCCGTGACACTAAGTCTGCAAAATATTCTAAGATGCAGAAATGTGGTAGACACTCTAAAATTATTACACTGATGATTTTTTTTTTCATTTTTCAGTTTTTCATTACAACATAAGAATTTTTAATTTTGTTTAACTTCCCTCCCCTTTATTCAAACTTTTTGAGAACGTTTTCCTCAAACTTAAAAAAACCCCTTAGGAGCATCAGCACTGAAAAAAATCACAAAGTAAACAATGAACATGTTAAAAACAGGAAAGGAAACCAACCTTCAACCCTCTCAGTGACTTTAAATACCACTCTGTGCTGCTCAAACATTTCATTTATATGCAGTGCTGAATCTGGGTTATGTTACTAATTTGTGTGCGACAGAATAAGCTATTTACCTCAGAAAGCTTGAAGATTCTGTCTAGTGGCAGAAGACATGTTGGCAGAGCTGGCTCATAAAAAAATCTTTAGTGACAACCTACTCACATTCTTCTTTTGCTCCATTTAATTAGCAATCGCTTCCAAAATCCCATTTTAAATGGTTCTGGAGAGGCACAATTTAACCAACACTAAATGCATCCCCTAAGGTCTAAAGGCATCTACTTTGCTGCTGGTTTCAATAAATCTGATGCCTAAATACCTTTGTGAATCTGGGCATAAAGTGCTTACACTACCTGATGATTTAGAAGTCCCCTGTGGTTCGGTTTTAGAATCCTTGTCTATTACACAGGAGACCTGAGTTTGATTCCCAGACACCTATACAACTATAGCCATGGAGGCCCCAAACATCTGGACTCAGTCTGGTCTTTGGATTTTGTCTCAATGGCCTACAGGGAGGATGGAAGGTCTGGGCAGCCTCCACTCCTTCGAAAATTCCTGTCCAGGCATATGCATCGAAGGTCTGGGTGGCCCTCATGCATGCACTATGATCCAGGAGGATGGACGGCTGCCACCTAATGATTTATTTTATAACCAACTACTTCTACTTACACTTTCTATTTAAATCATCAGATAATTATAATGATTATAAGCTTTAAAGTTTTCTGTAAAATGGGGAATAGGACACACACAATGTAACTGATTTTAAAAAAAATCATGAACTTAGAAAAGCAAAAGTGCATACTTTATTAGCTATCTTTCAGACCAGTACAGAACATTTTTCAGATCAGATCATCATGCTTTTTAATGTACTGAATATCCGTTTTAAGAAGTCAACCTCTTTTTCTCACATAGCAGTTCTATTTGATTAACTTAACTCTACCTGCCCACAGTCCTTACATAACTCTATGCTGCAGTGTGGAGTCCCTTGCAGGGTAATTTAATCTGTGTTGATCTCTGGGCTGCCATGACTAGCCTGCCTCCAGCACACAAGCTTGATTATTTACAGCAGCCAATCTAGGCATTTATATATTACACTGCTCTCCACAGTTTGAGCATACCACTTGTCTTTTGCTAATGAGTTAGCTGGCTCCTCCCTGCCCAACTCCTAACCTATTAATTATCAGAATGCAAACATTTATCACAATGTTAATATTTTGCTGTATTTTAATGGTATTTCACTTGTTTGCTTACACTCATTAGTCCTCAGGGCTTCTTCAAGTTGAATGTAGAAATCAGACTTCTGTGCCAATATTCCAAGGTTTACTACCTTTGACTAGACCAAAAGAAGATAATAAATTCACGTGGTATGTACAAAAATATACAAAAACACTCACAACCTAGTAAGATTGTTTTCTCCCCAAATGCCACAAAACCTTTAAGGAAAAAAACCAAAGTAATACTATGCAATCGAGTTAGTTCTGTAAAGTGTTTTACAGTAATTAAAAGCATACCTGAGGTATGCTAGGAAAAATATGCAAGATCTGTAGAAGCTATTTTTTGTCACGTTTTACCTGCTCTCCATTGTTTTCTTGCTCAGCAGTAGTGTATCGTGGTATAAGACCAGGAACTGTCGGGATGAAAAAGGGTGCTGCTTTTGGAACTTTTGGTGGTTCTCTTGGTTTATTTTTTTTCTGTTAATTAGACATTTTAATTAAGTCATTTTAAAAAATTATCTAAAAATCAAAAAACATTTGTTTTGGTAAGACATTCAGGGCCATTAGCAAAATGAACATTTGGAAAGCATTTGTTGCTGAATACTAAGGAGGCTCCAAAGGCAACCCCCAGAGAACAATCCATAAAAATTACCCCAAACATGACAAAACGCATTATATGTTTTTAAATAAATCTTAAAGTAATACTGATGACAGAGGAATAAGTCTTTGGACCAACTCTTACATATGACAAACCAAGTCAGGGGGGATATGCACCTCTTTCTTCTTGATTCTGGGTGTGACAGGCACTGCTCTGGAGAAAACTAGGAGCAGATTTGGGTGCCAACAGATGTGCTGACTGGAAACTGCCATTTACTAAGGCAATACAGTAGGCATACAGGCAGCTCAGTGAAATCTGGTGTCAGGCAGGGGTGGTCCTTTGCCCTAGGTCACACAAGGATTTACTCCATCACAAATAAATCCTTCAGAAGCTGGTTAAGTCACCTGTGTCTCTTGTGATGCCGTAACAGCAGCTCTTTATTAATTTATTTTGCAGAGGGGCTGCCCCAGAAGCCACAACAGTAGAAGTTTCAGTATTGTATAAACTCACAACTCTTTGGCCCCAGAGTCAGCACACAACCCCCTAGGCCAGACAGCCAGACCAAAACCAGCATAATATTACCTTAATAAGATCCAGATTGAGTAGGTTTTTCCATCTTGACTCAGGCAACAGAGACAGGGTCACTAGCTGCTCTCCCAGTTGCTCTGGTGAATCATATTCTCTCATATCATCACTTGTTTCTTCATTTTCTGTAGTGTCCACATCTTCAATAAAATATATGTTATTTAAAACATATTCAAGCCAAGCTAGGTTTCAAATGCGCTGTGATCATCATTTTTCAGCAATCTTTAAAAACTGATATACAATGTTTACGTAAAATATATCTAATGAGTCAGACAGCATTTTTCTACTTTAGGTGAGAGATTAAATTATACTTAATGACAACCAATTGTATGTAAGCCTAGAACTAGAAAAACTCAAAAAGGTTAAAAATTTACCCATAAGCCAGGCCTCTAAGTTTAATTTGAAATCAATTACATTAAATCAAAATAAAGCTGACAGTTATTTTGTGTTTCCAAGTTTAGCTAAAAGTAAATGTGCGCGTGCATGTGTACGCATGCAGAAGCTGAAGCGAAACGTATGTTAATTATGGTATTCTAGAGTCTAGACTCCATTTATACACATGAAAAGATGGTTACTTGTGATTAAAGCATGGTATTGAACAGGAGATATAAGTTTTGTTACCAGCTTACACTACCTCAAAACTTCTTTTGTAACACTGACCAAGTAACTTGAACGCCACAGCTTATTTTACCTTTCAAAAAAATATGCTACCATACTACTATACATGCCTATAATACAGAGGTGGGCAAAATGCGGCCCAAGGGCCGCATGTGGCCCACCAGGCCATTCTATCCAGCCCATGGGTCCCCTAAAAAATTTAGAAAATTAATATATATCTGCCCCTGGCTGCCTGTCATGCAGCCCTCAATGGCTTGCCAAAACTCAGTAAGTGGCCCTCTGCCCGAAATAATTACCCACCCCTGCTATAATATGTGCTACAGAAAAGCCTAAAAATAGGTAGGGAACAGAATTTAAGACACAGAAATCTAGGATAGCCAAAAAGGTTATAAATCTGCTGAACTGGAAATATTAACTGAACTGGAACCAAAACCAGAACCAGCCCCTTTAAAAACAACTCTAGAGGGGACCCAGGGAAGTACAGGTCAGCAAGTCTAACATCTGCTACTGGCAAACTGGCTGAAGCAATAATTAAATAAAAGGACAGCTCAACACATGGATGAGCAGAGCTTGCTGGGATAAATCAGCATGGCTTTTCTAAATAAAGGTCCTGTCTCACCAACCTGTTAAGAGTTCTTTGAGGGTATCAACAAGAATGGGGAGCAGGACGATCCAACTGATAAAGCATTTCTGAGCTTCAAAAAGCCTTTAACAAAAGTTCTGCATCAAAGGTTCTTAATGAAATACGTTTATCATTGATTTATAGATCAGATCAGAAATTGGGTTAACGACAGAAAAACAGAATTGGTATAAATGGTCAGTTTTCAGAATGAAAAGAAATAAACAGTGATCTGTGTTGGGACCAGTCTGTTTAATATAGTCATATATAACCTGGAAAGAGGTGAAAGCAGGGGGAGGGGGAAGGGAAGTGAAAGAGGGGAGGAGGGAAAAGTAGCAAGGTGACTAAGTTTGCAGGTGACCAAAATATTCAGAGGGTAAAGGCTGAAGCAGACTTTGAAGAACAAGAACAGACTTTGAAGGACTGATCTTACAGAAGCGAGCAAATGGGCAACAACACGGCAAATTAAATTCCATGTTGATAAATGTCATGCACATGTGAAAAAATAACCCCAAATATATGTAACAGGGCTGTTACCACACCCTGTCACTGTGGATAGTTTGGTAAAACCATCAGCTCAGTGTTCAGCAGCCATCAAAAAGACAAATAAAGTGATAGGAATTATTAAGAATGGAATTGTGAACAAAGCAAAAAGTATCATTATGCCCTTTTATTCAAGGTGTGGATGCACCACAGATTTATACTGGTGCCGTTTTGGTATCACACCTCAAAAAGGATATATAAAACTAGAAAAGGTACAACGGAGAGCAACAAGGATGATCAGGAGAATGGGGGGCTTCCACATAAGCAGAAACTAAATAGGCTAGGATGTGTCAGATTTTAGAAGAGATGTTTGAGGTGGGGATATGACAGAGGTTTACAAAATATTAAACAGGGATTTCTTATTTACTGCCTTGTACAATACTAGAACTAGGGGACCTAAACTGAAACTATTAGGTGGTAGGTTTAAAGTTAACAAAAGGAAGGTTTTGTTCTACATAGTGGGTACATCTACATGTGCAATTATTGAGACAAGAAATGCTGGAGCAGTTCAAGCCACAGTAAACTGCCCCTAGATGCTGCGTTTGCATGTGCACTCAGAACAGCAGCAATTTGAGCCAGGATGGAGCAGGTCCCTGGCTGACTGGGTGCAATTTATGTCTGCGGTCACTGTCTATATGTGCATTTCAATTCAGTAAATCACTATGCTGTAAGATAGTACTGTGGTGGAGTTAATTATTTTACTGTAAGATAGTACTCTTATGGCAGAGTTAGCTTACTGTGCCTTAATATTAATGCATGTGTAGATGGTGGTGCTTTAATGCAAAGCTAATTAGTCTACTCTGCAGTAAAGTGCACATATAGATTCACACAGTAAGTAATTAACATGTGAAACTCATTACCCCAAGATGTCATGGAAGCTGGTAGCTTCAGTCCATTCAAAAGGGGAATGGTTCAATTCTTGGAGGAAAGGTCCATCATCATATAGGTATATATTCTATTAAACAGGATATTGTAGACAAAGAAGGCCTTCAAATTAGACCTCCCCAAACCTGTAAATACTGGAAGCTGCAATGGTGGAAGGAGCAGGGAACTGAAAATTCTGGATATGCCCTGTTCACTCTCCCCTTCACTATCTACTCTGTGAGGTAGGACACTAGGCTAGATAGACTTATGGTCTAAGTGGCTCATGGGAATGAATTGTCCGAAATGTTCGTTTCTTATCATCATCTGCCATCAAAAAATTATAAAAATCACTGATGACAAACAGGATAAGGGAAACAAGCATTAAGAACACAGAACATACACAAGTCTTTATCTGCCAAGTAGAATGACAAATGTCACGTGAAACGCATTATGAAGGTTCTGGGTTTCAAGGAAAGGAAGCAAATGGCACCTACACTATTAATTCTCCTGAAATGTGGTTTAGTCAGGAATACAAACAAAACCTTTCAACACACCTACTCTTGTAAATATTATCATGTCCATCCATACAACTGAGAACTAAATGGTACTGAATAATGTTAGTATGCTACTTTATTCAGGGATTGCAGAAAAAGGAGTCTTTTTCTTAAGGAGATGAAGTGACTCTGTTGTATGCATTTTTTCTACAAGAAAACATTGAGTTCTACATGAAGAAAATGAAATGTCTGCCATTTGACTTTCATTATTGTGGTCATTTTCATGCCAGCAATTTTCATCCAGCAATTACCTTGAGCAGGACAAGTTCCTGGAAGCATTATTACAGAAGACTCATAATCTGTTGGAAGCGGCCGTAAAGAGACAAATGAATACAAGGAACGATTAGACCTAAATAATGAAGGCAAAGAAGTATTAAAAAACATTACTTTTTAAATAAGCATGCAAAGTAAGAATTTAAACAACATTTTTAGAATGTTTGATACCATTGCAATATGACAAATAGCTGAGTTTTTCTTGTTATGGTTAGAATTACTTGTCTTGAAAAAAGAAAGAAATGGGGGGGGGGGACCAAACTGCA